GGTCGGTAAATTTACGAAAATATTGTTTTAGACCCATATAGCATACTCCCCAGACTAGAGAAAATAAAAGAGAGATAAGACGAAGAATTGAGCCCGCAAATGAGCAAACAATGGTCACAGAGACTACAAAAACGCGCCAAAAGTGGTTTTGTAGTCTCACATACAAACGGACTTTCTAACGGAGTTTCAAAAGTGTAGTCTACAATACAAACTATAACTCCCACGACCTCTCGGCAAAAAAGGGTTCTCACGGGGTACAACGTTCGGCACGCAGGCATATTTTGCGCGTAAGGACTCGTCCTTCGTACCTCAGGACTCGTAAGCGGGGTTGTCGGCAGCGGGGGTGGTAGGTGACAGATCGGCTGGCTGAGGCGACGTGTGGGGCGCCGGTGAGGCAGAGCGCATAGACTCATTGTCTTCGGTATTTGAGGGAACATGCTGAGGCGAGGGTGACGCGGGGCCGGAAGCGAACACATCTTGTGTTGTGTCCATGAGATGCTAATATGCGTACAGCAAGTCAATAATCTCGTATGCATAGGAACGTAAGCTCATTCGAACGCACCTCGTCTGGTAGTAGATCATACTCCTGTAGCACCCATCGTCCTAGTCCCCGTACAAGACGTCCACGTCCGCAGCGACGGTCTTAAGCCACCCGTACGTCTCCTTGTCGCAGACGTTGCCCTTGCACAAGATTTGTTGGATTTTCCTGGGACAAGCAGCTTCAATATTCCTTTTGCTTTTAACCCGTACTCTATCCTACAGCTAGTCCAAACATGGCACATAGTCTCTCGCCGGAATGCAAGCCTCTCAGGCATGAATCCGATGCCTGCTTCAACGCGTGGTTCGAGGGCTACCTCGAGCCCGCCGTATCGTCCGCCACTGCGGCGTCAAAGGAGCGCCAGACGTACTCACGGCGTAAGGCGGAGGAATACGAGGCCAGCTGCGGGAAGATTTGGGCGAGCTATCGGGAGTAGGTGCAGGTTCGTTTCAGTATCCGCACGTTACGTGGAAGGGAAGGAAATGCTGACGTGTTGGGGTGATTAGAAGACCGTGAGGACCGTGGATTGGGGGAGCGTTTGGCGCAGGCGAGGGAGGAGAACCCGCTCAAGGAGCCGCCCCCCCCCCCCCCCTCGCCCGAGGGAGCGTCATGTTGACCATTCATTGACATCTCTCTTCACTTGTCAACAGCATTACAGATTTGTGAGTGCGGTTCATTGCGCTGCGAGGTATCAGTAGACTAATGGTGGCTGGCACCTCTGTGGATATTTAGGGCACTTCGTGGATCAGTTCCCTCAAGCGTTGGCCGAGCCTATCCACTTCCGAGCGGCGGAGGCAGATGGCCAATAGTCGGGAAGTTATCCTATTCATGGACGTCTGGGTGTTCAGCAATGTCAGGCCGTTTGTCGTATTATTACGCTGCCCCGAAGGGGGTGGGTTGCCGAACACGCAAGTCGCGAGAAGGATGGGGTGAGCACGCTGATGCCTCGGTGTCGCTGTCTGCAAGCAGGATCTCAGGTTTTGCAGGTGGGGTAACCGCCCTGGCATGCCCAGTTATTTTCGAAAGTGCTCGTACCCGTATTGCGGTCGTCTCATCCAGCGAGAGCTTTGTAATTTATTGGGCCGCAATCCTGGCATTTGGTTCCTCGGGGAATAATGTGGTCACAAGGCCCGTCTTAAGTGCAGTCATTGTGTCTCTGCCTCAGTAAGCGCATCGGCTCGGGAAGCTGTTGTTCCCTAGGAAAGTATGTGTGGATGCCTATCTATATGGGCGCTGGCGGGTGCGATCTGAAACAGGATATATTGCGAAAGTGAAAAGGGGATGACAGCATACTGTATGTCGTATGAGGCTTGCATCACCGTCACCATGCTGAACTGTCAGAGGATGGATTTTTGATGGATGCTGTGGAGACGAGACTGAAGATATACAGATGGATCGTCAGGACAAGCTGTTATCAGAGTTAGTGGCGAAAGGGAGCACAGTAATCGACGTTCGGTTATGCTGCCCGATTACACCCACCAGGTATGAACGGAAGTACCCACCGCACTCCAAGTCGTCAATAGATAGAACGACGAGAACCAATAGAGAATCGAAATATCCTTGCGCTGGGGATGAGCTGGGATGCGGCTGATGCCTTTTCAAGTTTCGCTGTTAGGAATTACTACCTTATACTACCTCATGCAAGACACGAACTATAATACAGCAAGAAAAGAGGTCATGGCCAGCTGAAACAGAGTCTCGGATAAAGCTATGTACACAGGAGTATCGTGGAGAAGTAATGAACAGCGGAGGGAGAAAAGAGACGTCGGCCAGATATGCAATGTGGTCCCAGCCTGAGCGTTGTTGAGCGCGGCGCGTCTGCGAACGCGTCACAATCCGAGTAGTCCCTTGAGATGACGGCGCGACGTTATTCCGACGAGCAGCGCTCCTCGTGTTTCTGGCTACCGGCGTCCTTGATGCCACCGGGGCCCTGTGTCGCGAGCGCTTCTGCGCTAACTCTTCATTGGCAGGTTCTTCCTCGACCGATGAGCCCTTCCTCTTGGGCGTCCGGAGTGCAGTGGCTTGCTGCCCAACGACGCGCTGAGGAACCTTGACAGACGGTACTACCGCTATCTGCTTGGTATTCCGGGCAGGAGGTATAGCCAACGTGTTCCTTGCATTCGATGGATTTGGCTTCAGCTGGCTCGTGCCACGAGCTTGCTGCCCCACCTTGGGCACTTGGACTGACTTGGAAGTCCGAGAGAGTCTTGAGTTCCTACCGGATTCGGCCTTCAGACGCGCAGCATTCAGCGCCGCCGCAACCTCTTGCTTCTGCTGTGCACTACGTCTTTCCAAGGGCTCAAAGGCGATCGCTGCATCTCCAGCTTCCGCCGGCCAATCCGCTGAATCCAGAGCTTCCTGCATAACTGAGATAACTCTCTCGTGCGTGAGCATATTCCGTTCTTCCAGTGGGATATGCTTCTTGGATTGCTCATCATAATAATGGCTGTGGACAATGGAAGCGAAGTTCCTGATACAGGCAGTCAACGGAGGGTTGTCGACGACAGTGACATGTGGGGCATTGTGACGTAAGAAATTCTCTTTCTTGCGTTCGGCAGGGGGATCGTCGTAGAGACCTGGGAGGAACGTGGCAGCTGCCACATCTTCGCGACGTTCAGTGATGTAGCATTGAGTGTGGCGGAAGATGACGAAGACCAAGACCCAGAAGAAGGACTCAAGATCATGCCATGCTTCATGGTCGGCATCATCATTATCCCAGCGATCAATAGCCATGAACGGCGGAGTGCCCTTGGGAATGTTAACCAATAAGACCTCAAAAAAACTATACCGCGAACGTACTGTCAGATAATGTAGTTCCTTCGCCAGGTCAGGCATAGTATCCACGGCTGCTAATTCAGGGTCTATGAGGAATCCTCGGGCGCCCATTTCCCTTTCCGGATATACACTGATCATGATGTTATGGGGGCTGATATCACGGTGCAGAACACCGTTGGAACACATGTTCCTGTGCCCTGAACAGCTAGTGAGCAGGGCTGAAGTCCGAGTTCAGTGCCACTCACCCTCCACGGCGTCTCGAATAGCGTGTAGCAGCTGCTTTGTGGATTTGAAGCGATCCAGGGGAATACCGACCGATAACAAGACGCAACGATGATGGATGCGCTCGGTGAGGTCCGTCCCTTCCTCGTTCAGCCTTGCAGCAGCGGTACAGCAGGGCATTTCCTTCGAAACCGGATCTGGGACGTCGAAGTCGTGGTAGAAGCGGGCCACGCCAAAAACAGACTCCGCCCCCTTGTATATCGACCTATAAATCTTCCCTTCCGTCCAACGACTCTCATTTCGCCATGTGTCCTTGATAACAACAAAACCGTCATCGCTCCGGCCGGCTCTCTTCGCGAGCCAGACTAGAGTTCCACGTCCACGGATGGACCTGCTATAAAACATCGGTCGTCCGATGGAAATGAAATTTTCATGTAGGCCGGGATTCTGTGGGGATTCCACTACGATGCGGGTGCTCTCGCCATCTAAGGTGTCTCCGTCGCGACGTGGCGTATACTCCAACAGGATCCCAAGATGCACCGCCTCGTCGTAGCAGCTGTGAACGAGCGCAAGTTCAGCCTTGGTGCTGAGACTCGCATGCGCCGTCCTGTCGATCCCGCTATTGGCAAACTTGG